ATAATTCAATCATTATCAAAATAAATCAAAATCTATTAAAATTCAATTTATCAATGCAATAAGAAACATTGAAATGGAATTGTAACATATTTAGTATATCATGTGTGTTACTCTTACATGCAACAGATGGCGCTGTTTTTCATGAAATGTATAGTTTTACCTGTAACAGGTGTGGCATCTATACTTATACTTATGAAATGAACGGAATGGTAAAGAACACAGCTCAATTCCAACACAATGTCACACAAAATAATTCAATAAAAAAAACAAAATAAATCAAAATCTATGAAAATTAAATTTATCAATGCAATCGGAGACATTGAAATGGAATTCGTGACATATTTAGTATAGCGTGCATGTTGCTATTATGTGCAACAAAAGGCGCTGTTTTTCAAAAACGCATTTTTCTACCTTTCACAGAGGTGGCATCTACGTAGTATGTATATAAAAAAGACGCGCATATTCGAATGGAACGTTCTGTCAGAATTTCAAAGCAATCGGTGAAGAAATTTGGGAGATTCCAGAATGTGTTACTAATACATCCATCAGATGGCGATGTTTTTTCAAAAAAGCTTGTTTTCTCCGGTCACAGGTAAGGCATGTATATAGTAGTATACAGAAACATGCGCCTATACGAATGCAACGTCGTGTCCAAATTTCAAAGCAATCGGTAAAGAGGTTTCGAAGATTTCTCTCACATGAAAAACACGTGAAAAACACAGTTTTTCAAAAAAACATGTTTTTTTTCCGTCACAGACGTTACATCAATATAATATGTATATAAAACCCTGCTCGGAAGTGAATGGAACGTTGTGTGAAAATTTCAAAACAATCGATGAAAAAGTTTCGGAGATTACCGATTTTGAACAAACGAACATTTCCATTTATATTTATATAGATGTCTCTGTGGCTCATTTGGATGCCAAAATTCAACTTGTGTCCTCTTGTTCGTGTTCCACCCATGCTAAATAATTTGTCTTTGTCCACCCTGTCAAACCCCCCCTCCCCACACACACACACACACACACACACACACACACGCACGCACACACGCACACACACAGAGACCCACATGGAGGCCCAGACATACTTGGTTGATACCTGGTTGATGGGGTTCTGGGAGTTCTTCTACTCCCCAAGCCCAGCCCGAGGCCAGGCTCGACCTGTGAGAGTTTGGTCCACCAGGCTGTTGCTTGGAGCGGCCCGCAGGCCCACATACCCACCACAGCCCGGTTGGTCCGGCACTCCTTGGAGGAATAAATCTAGTTTCCTCTTGAAAATGTCCACGGTTGTTCCGGCAATATTTCTTATGCTTGCTGGGAGGACGTTGAACAACCGCGGACCTCTGATGTTTATACAGTGTTCTCTGATTGTGCCTATGGCACCTCTGCTCTTCACTGGTTCTATTCTACATTTTCTTCCATGTCGTTCACTCCAGTACGTTTTTTTTTTTTGAGATATATACAAGAGTTGTTACATTCTTGTACAGCCACTAGTACGCGTAGCGTTTCGGGCAGGTCCCTGGAATACGATCCCCGCCGCGAAGAATCGTTTTTTCATCCAAGTACACATTTTAGTGTTGCGTTAAACAGAGGCTACAGTTAAGGAATTGCGCCCACTAAATCCTCCCCGGCCAGGATACGAACCCATGACATAGCGCTCGCGGAACGCCAGGTGAGTATCTTACCACTACACCACGGAGACTGTTAAAATTGTTAACTAAAAAAGTTCTTTCTAATATTTCTGTGGCTCATTTGGGCACTCAGTTTCCACCTGTGTCCCCTAGTGCGTGTGCCCCTTATGTTAAACAGCCTGTCTTTATCAACCCTGTCGATTCCCTTGAGGATCTTAAATGTGGTGATCATGTCCCCCCTAACTCTTCGGTCTTCCAACGAAGTGAGGTTTAATTCCCGTAGTCTCTCCTCGTAGCTCATACCTCTCAGCTCGGGTACTAGTCGGGTGGCAAACCTTTGAACCTTTTCCATTTTAGTCTTATGCTTGACTAGATATGGACTCCATGCTGGTGCCGCATACTCCAGGATTGGTCTGACATATGTGGTATATAACGGTCTGAAAGATTCCTTACACAAGTTTCTAAAGGCCGTTCTTATGTTAGCCAACCTGGCATATGCTGCTGTTATCCTCTTGATATGAGCTTCAGGGGACAGGTCTGGCGTGATATCAATATGTGTGTGTGTGTGTGTGTGTGTGTGTGTGTGTGTGTGTGTGTGTGTGTGTGTGTGTGTGTGTACTCAGACAAGCAGCGTTCCAGTTGAAGTGAAGCAAATCAAAATAATGGAAGGTAAGCTGGTAAACACCGGAGAGTGAGGAGCTGGAATCACAAGTGAGGTGTAGAAGTGGAGAAAAAGAGTGACAGTAAAGAAAAGTTTTTGAATTTGTTCATACAAATTTACTTATTGTTATTAATGTACAATTAATATACACTCTCTAGATTATTAATTCACAAATAATCTAGGAATAAGTACAGAAAAGTTTAACTAAGTAAATGTTATCTCTGGTCCCTTACCCTTAAACAGCAGTTATAAATCTACCTCTGAGAAGAATTGAAGAAAATACAAACTTTGATATTGACCAAATTGACCAGTATTGACCATTAGTCAATACTGGGCCCTTACACCTGCAAATATCACTTGTGTAAACTAGTCCTTTACACCAGCAAATACCAGCACATGTGATGTAAACTGCACAAGACAGATCAAGAGTCAAGGCCTAGAACTAAGGCAGGCGAGCTGTGTTCTCACCTAGTTGTGGTGTACAGGATCCTGAGCTTATTGGGCTCTATCATATTTGCATTTAGAACTGTGTATGGAGTCTGCCTCCACCACATCATTGCTCGTGGGTACGAGGGGATATGGGTACTAGGGTCAAGAGTAATATATGTATTATTAAATATATGTGGAAGGTGTTCTACTCGGGTGCTCTACTCGGTAGAACACCTTCCGGGTAGAACACCTTCCTTCAGGCCGTCGCCTTACCGAGCCAGACAGCGGGGCCTTTTACACCTCCTTCAGGGAGCCGGATAGCATCTTGAGGACTCCCACCGAGAATGGCAACGAGCTACTGGGGCCGGCAAGGAATTTTAAGGGTTCGTTTCACCCATCTCTTATGGGGCGAGGAGGTGGTGGGTGGCAGGAGGGGTGGGCGTGGGGGAGATGTGGGCGTGAAGCCGCCCACGCCCTCTCACGGGATGGGGCTAGTTAAGGAATGGGAAGTATGGTGGGATAGTGTGATGGAAGATGGTAGGAGGGATGGGACGTAGTTATGGGAGTGAGAGAAAGGGGGGGGGAGAGATGTAAGGTAATGGGAGGTAGCGTTGGTGGACACTCCTACGATGTCTTACGATGGACAAATTAAGGCCACGATTCACGAAGAACTTGCGTGCCCACTTACGAGGTCTGTACCTCTTATATCAATCATGGCGACTTGGTGTCGCTATTCACAAAACAGTTTAAGAGTCTTAAGTACTACGAGTCGTAAGCACTCCGTGGTCGTCCTCAAGCCAAGGTTATTATGGCTCTTAAAGACCCGCGCCGCTTTGGAACTTGCAAACTGTTTAGTGAATTACCATCTAAGGTGCTATGATGTACAGACCTCTTAGGTGTTATACGTCTCCCGGCCTGCTATCTCTCGTATCTCTTGTCCAGGAGATGTTAGAGGGGAGGGGTTAGAGCCGGGGGGGGGGCCGTAGTGGTGAAAAGTGGGAGGTGAGGGGTTGGGGTTAGGATGTGGGGGAGGGGGGAGTGGGGTGAACCAAGGGCTGAGGTGAACTCTGGAATTTCAATGAATATCTGTTAAAGTTTTTCGTTGCGGATAAAACGTGAAATAAATGTTGCATTTATTTTCGAGATGCCGGCACGGGCACTAGTGAGGAAGATGGGGTGAAGAAGTCTTGTGAGAAACAAGGGGGAAGATATGACACAGGTGAGGAGTATGGTACAGAAAAACGGAGGCAGATGAGAGAGAGAATGAGAATAACACAGAAGTAAGAGACAGCAACCCAAAAACGTGGTCTTAAAACCAGTTCTTCTCTGAATAAAAATCCACCAATGATAAAATATTACTAAACTGCAACAGCTACGAGAGTAGTAGAGGAGTTCCATCACTATATATGTTGTAGCCTACGACATGTCGTAGGACACGTCGTAGCTCGCTGTCCATTACCGTAAGACAGAGTGTGGTCGGGTAGACTGTAAAAACAGTGGTTGGGTACCGGCTCGGGCCCTCCAGGACTTCCCAGGAGTTCCGGGTTCGTCGCCTTTTGTACCATCGTGGAAGGCAGGTGCCTGGGAATTACCAGAACGCGGGTTCGAGTCCCACTATTGCCTCAAAATTGATAACTATGATTTTAAAATCATTGATGAATGTAGCTTCTAAATCTAATTATTTCAATACACAGTTTATAATTACAGATATTTCATGTTATGCTGTTATTATGACTTTCTCTTTGGTAAATATTTTACTGTAAATTTATGTTAATTAACCTAACTATAACTGAACAAAATGAACATTTATGAATAGTTATGATTAATTAGTTGATTTTTTATTATAATTATTATCTACCACAAACGTGGCAACAAAGCTAACCAGCATATATACTTTTTCTTCTGTCCTCCATGGACAGGGTTAGAGATCTGTTAAACGTATAATTCAGTGATTTATTGAACAATCAACCACAAAATGTGATTGTAGTGCGTTTAAAATGCTAACCTAACCTAAAGACATAAATACACAAATTTACGTCTGTCCCACATAAACAGTGTTCTTTTGGATTAGTTGATTGAATATATAGAAACCGAGGCATCGTGTTATTAAGATTTGCTCGTCGGCTTGATAACTTATATAGATGTGCTGCTGTTCTTGGACCTTCCTACCAGTTATACTGATCAAGGATACACGACAACTCTGTATCAAACTGTATATCCTTACCTTGTATCTACCTCGCCCCCCCTCCATGGTCTCTACCCCACGGACCAGCCTCCATGGTCTCTACCCCACGGTCCAGCCTCTATGGTCTCTACCCCACGGACCAGCCTCCATGGTCTCTACCCCACGGTCCAGCCTCTATGGTCTCTACCCCACGGGCCAGGCTCCATGGTCTCTACCTCACGGACCAGCCTCCATGGTCTCTACCACACGGACCAGCCTCCATGGTCTCTACCCCACGGTCCAGCCTCTATGGTCTCTACCCCACGGACCAGCCTCCATGGTCTCTACCTCACGGACCAGCCTCCATGGTCTCTACCACACGGACCAGCCTCCATGGTCTCTACCCCACGGACCAGCCTCCATGGTCTCTACCTCACGGACCAGCCTCCATGGTCTCTACCACACGGACCAGCCTCCATGGTCTCTACCCCACGGACCAGCATCCATGGTCTCTACCACACGGACCAGCCTCCATGGTCTCTACCACACGGACCAGCCTCCATGGTCTCTACCACACGGACCAGCCTCCATGGACTCTACCTCACGGACCAGCCTCCATGGTCTCTACCCCACGGACCAGCCTCCATGGTCTCTACCACACGGACCAGCCTCCATGGTCTCTACCCCACGGACCAGCCTCCATGGTCTCTACCACACGGACCAGCCTCCATGGTCTCTACCCCACGGACCAGCCTCCATGGTCTCTACCTCACGGACCAGCCTCCATAGTCTCTACCCCAAGAATCAGCCTCCATGGTCTTTACCCCACGGTCCAGCCTCCATGGTCTCTAGCTCACGGACCAGCCTCCATGGTCTCAAGCTCACGGACCAGCCTCCATGGACTCTACCTCACGGTCCAGCCTCCATGGTCTCTACCTCACGGACCAGCCTCCATGGTCTCTAGCTCACGGACCAGCCTCCATGGTCTCTACCTCACCGACCAGCCTCCATGGTCTCTACCCCACGGACCAGCCTCCATGGTCTCTACCCCACGGACCAGTCTCCATGGTCTCTACCCCAAGAATCAGCCTCCATGGACTCTACTCCACGGACCAGCCTCCATGGTATCTATCTCGCCTTCCTTCCTTCTCCAGCACTCGCCTGATATCTGAGCCTCTCCATGACGACTCCCAACAACTTTCCATGGAGTGTGTGGAGTAACTTAGAATCCACTAAGATACCCCATCAAGAGTGGGCCGCGATCGGACTAAGATAGTCACCCAGCACACTGGTACCCTTGCAAGATTACTCTTGGGATGTCCAGGACAAATCCTAGCCAAGTGGAAGGTGAAACAAAATGGGCTTCGTGGATCTGATAAGAGATCCTAACTAAGTGAACATTTCGAGACAGAACATGATGAAAGGTGAACAGGACGAAGTGTCTGAACGTCAGGGGAAGTGAACGAGGAGTCTCAGCGCCACGGAAAATGAATAACTGAATGCCCCCTACACAGTCTGGTCAATATACTTCGTAATACTATTAACTTACACAGTAAATCCACCACACACCTACGACTTGCAAACTTCTTCCCCTACACCTCTAAGCATCTAGATACACTGCCCTCCACGCCCGGCCTCCACGGGCGTGGAGGTGTACACTGTGTCACTGTACACAGACGAGCCAGTGTACAGCCAGCCAGCAAGCACAGAAGGCAACCCCAGGAGCCAGGGCCGGGTGTACGCGCACCAGCTGAGAATAATGAGCCACAGTTCTCAACAAATGGCTTGGAACACCGCCGTAGAATAGATAAACGCGGAGTTATAGTGCATATTACGGTCATAGACCTCACACCCGCTCACTGGTTTATGCCCTCACCACCGCTAACATTACCAATTTCATAAATAAAATATATATAAATATTATATATATATATATATATATATATATATATATATATATATATATATATATATATATATATATATATATATATATATATATATATATATATATATATATATATATATACGTACGAAAGATCGAGAAAATTCGTGTTAGAATTATTAATCTTACTTTTTCGGTCATATTTAATAATATATATATATATATATATATATATATATATATATATATATATATATATATATATATATATATATATATATATATATATATATATATATATATATATATATATATATATATATATATATATATTATTAAATATGACCGAAAAAGTAAGATTAATAATTCTAACACGAATTTTCTCGATCTTTCGTACGTTTCTTTTCACTGTTGGTGGTAATTCAAAAATCAATTCTCCAAAATTCATTTTTATTTCTAGTCTGACGCGACACTTGAGAGCGTTTCGTAAAACTTATTACATTTTCAAAGACTTTAGCTTACACATACACAACTGAAAAGAACTTACACATCTTCGATTTGTTTATATCTACATTTGAGTGAGGTGGATGGGGTGAGGTGGTATTAATAGGGTAATTAATTCGTCAACACAAGACAGAACACGAAACAATGGGTATTGAATGGAAGTGATTGTAGAAAGCCTATTGGTCCATATTTCTTGATGCTTCTATATTGGAGCGGAGTCTTGAGGTGGGTAGAATATAGTTGTGCATTAATTGGCTGTTGATTGCTGGTGTTGACTTTTTAATGTGTAGTGCCTCGCAAACGTCAAGCCGTCTGCTATCGCTGTATCTATCAATGATTTCTGTGTTGTTTACTAGGATTTCTCTGGCGATGGTTTGGTTATGGGAAGAGATTATATGTTCCTTAATGGAGCCCTATTGCTTATGCATCGTTAAACGCCTAGAAAGAGATGTTGTTGTCTTGCCTATATACTGGGTTTTTTGGAGCTTACAGTCCCCAAGAGGGCATTTGAAGGCATAGACGACGTTGGTCTCTTTTAAAGCGTTCTGCTTTGTGTCTGGAGAGTTTCTCATGAGTAGGCTGGCCGTTTTTCTGGTTTTATAGTAAATCGTCAGTTGTATCCTCTGATTTTTGTCTGTAGGGATAACGTTTCTATTAACAATATTTTTCAGGACCCTTTCCTCCGTTTTATGAGCTGTTGAAAAGAAGTTCCTGTAAAATAGTCTAATAGGGGGTATAGGTGTTGTGTTGGTTGTCTCTTCAGAGGTTGCATGGCGTTTCACTTTCCTTCTTATGATGTCTTCGACGAAACCATTGGAGAAGCCGTTGTTGACTAGGACCTGCCTTACCCTACAGAGTTCTTCGTCGACTTGCTTCCATTCTGAGCTGTGGCTGAGAGCACGGTCGACATAAGCGTTACCAACACTCCTCCTGTACCTGTCTGGGCAGTCGCTGTTGGCATTTAGGCACATTCCTATGTTCGTTTCCTTAGTGTAGACTGCAGTGTGGAAACCTCCGCTCTTTTTCATGACTGTTACATCTAGAAAGGGCAGCTTCCCATCCTTTTCCATCTCGTAAGTGAAACGCAGCACAGAACTCTGCTCAAATGCCTCCTTCAGCTCCTGCAGATGTCTGACATCAGGTACCTGTGTAAAAATGTCGTCAACATACCTGCAGTATATGGCCGGTTTCAAGTTCATTTCGACTAAGACTTTTTGCTCGATGGTACCCATGTAGAAGTTTGCAAACAGGACACCTAGGGGGGAACCCATGGCGACCTCATCTACTTGCTTATACATGTGCCCATCCGGGCTCAAGAAGGGTGCCTCTTTAGTACAAGCTTGGAGTAGTTTCCTCAGAATGTTTTCTGGTATGTCAAGAGGAGTGCAGGCCGGATCACGATACACTCTGTCGGCTATCATCCCGATTGTCTCGTCCACAGGTACGTTGGTAAACAGGGATTCTACGTCCAACGAGGCTCTTATCCCTGTGGCCCGTGTGCCCCGCAGTAAGTCAACAAATTCCTTTGGAGACTTCAGGCTGAAGGCGCAAGGGACATAAGGAGTCAGCAGGCCGTTGAGTCGCTTCGCCAGTCTGTACGTGGGTGTGGGTATCTGGCTAATGATTGGCCGAAGTGGGTATCCAGGCTTGTGTGTCTTGACATTTCCATACGCATATTGTTGGGAGTTTCACCTCTCTTCTCTCTAGTCTGGGGTGAGCAATAGTTATGCTCAAGGTAACTCACCGTAGCCCTGCGGGTCTTCACTCGATCCTCACGGCGCCACTGCACGCTTGGAGAGTCTCCCAGTCAATCTTAACGGCCTCTTATTAAGAAAGAGTGAGAACACGACTCGTTCACATCGACTGTCGCGTGCCCTTCCCAACAATAGGGCTCTACGGTTAAACACAAGGTCGCCAACTGGTGTTTAAGGTGGCCAGTAACACCATCAGTGGACGGGTGTATTCAGTGGAAGCCTTGGCAAGGTCACACTCAAAGATCAGGAATCAGGCAGGTACTTATTGTTATCACTCTATGTTTACCAGTATAATATAGCCACAAGATCAATGGAGGGGATGATAAAAACACAAAGAGAGTTTTGTCTTTTACTTAAAATGTATGAAAGATGTCACAAAGCCAAACAACAACAAATAAGTCAACTGATCCCGACGCGGCCGGAAGTTCCCACGGATAGTATGCGATCACTATGGTGGCAACACTCCCCCTCCTCATCAAGTGTCAAGATCAGCTGATTGCCTGGCTCCCGCGCGCGCGAAAGCTTTGCTTGTTTTCTAGATTCGCGCGCACTGTTTTTTTTAAATTCTCCAATATTACCATGAACTCGCACACACGATATTGGCTACAATAGCACGTATCACTTGGTTACACTGTACTCAGGCTCAAACAGTCTTTTCTACAATCAATGCTATAATGATTCACTGTAATGGCTTTACATTGTTCTTCACTCAGCAATATATTAAGAACTATTAACACTGGAGTTTTCAATACTTTTTCTCGTGGGCGATAACGCAATAATTCACTATACTCACAAATGATTATTCACTGAATGAACATAAACATATATATGGTATGTAAATCAATCATCAATACATGGAAAATAAATAGTTTCTGAGCACATAGCCTAACCTCCAAATACTGGCATAATATTATATATAATTTGCCACTATATGTTCATATCAAAATCTATAGAAAGATATACACAACACAGTAAATTATCACTGGTTCCTGGTGCCTGTACACACCAATAATCAACATGAATATTACAAGTACTCTTGATAGTACTGTCTAGCACACTGGTGCTTTACCGTGACATGGGTGAGACTTGCTCATGACATATAAAATCCTCAGGCTAGATAATATAGCCGAATAACATAGCTAACTAAAGGGGGATGGGGAGGGAACTAGAAACACCTACTTCACCCTATCCTCCGATGAGAGTCGAGATGTAGCTCCTGGTCCCCGTGTCGGGAACGCCCCCACACTACACGTCGTCGTGTCCTACCAGAGCCTCTCGTCGTCCCACCGTTTAGCGCGTCGTCTCCGTGCCTCCTCACTGCAGGTCCGTCCTCCTTCTTGACTTCTTGAAGGTTGGAGTCGGTCTCCCGGCCGTCGTCTTCTCCCAGCAACGGCTGTCGCCTACGTCTCAGCTACAGTCGTCCGGTTTCCCCAAATAGTCCTCTCTTCCTCAGCTACCCAGTGGCTCTGTCAGCCACTACGCTGTCACGAACTGGTGAATTGCCACAGACGTCAACATACGTCACTGCATGGCTTCACTGCTTCTTGCACAGCACCTGACTGGAGCACTTGTTGCTCAAATAACCGTCAATTCCCTCTTCCGGTTCAACACATGAACTAGGGAAGACTTCTCAGAGTACTGGCGTACTTCAGGTGACGCGTAAATCCACGGTAGCGGGGAACAACTGTCCAACTGACAGGACCACCCGTCGCACGTCCGACCTCTATGACGTGTCGTGTCTGACTGCTGGCGCCAGAGTGGCGCGCGGGCTGGACCCCCTTCCTTCGTGACGTCACTTTTGCTACGGGAAGTTTTCATTGGCTCCCGGTGCCACATTGCTGTCGGTGACCAATCTGGTGCCACTGACGTCACACGGTTTTGGCGGGAGATCAGAGAGGTAAGCGCCATCTTGGCTCCATAAAGGGCCTAAACCACAGGCCAAAATATTACTATTTCACAAATTTCTCGGCTCTCCGAGAACACTTCACTCTCTCCCATATATCAAATTGTAGCCTGCAACGTAGAGAAC